TAAAATTCAAGTATAAAAATCAATGACAATTTAGAGTAAAATTAAAATATATTTAATATTTGGAGGTTAAAATTAAAATCAAATTATTTTATTTTGAAAAATTTCGCAAAAATAAATAACATTTTGTTAATTTATAAATAAACGAGCTAAAACAGAATATGAAATTTTAGCTGTGACGCGTATGCCAAAAAATACACTGACGCCAAATAGGCCGCCCATTGTGGTAAATTTTAGTCTTAACCGTTTGAGAACGGACAAAAGAATCTTTTCGTATTGTAATGAAATTTTGTAATTGGAATATACAGTAAATCAATTAATTATTCAAGTGAATTCGAATAGTTTTTATTGCAGGATTTTTTGGTTAAGATTAAGGAGAATTGTTAGAAATATGGGAAATTTCCAAGCACCGCTTCTCTCCAGATTAGTTAAAAATCAGTACAATTTTTTTCCAGTTGGTTTTAAAAAATTAATATTTAGTGAAAAACTCCAACATTGTTACATAGATTAAATCGGAAAACTGAAGAATTAGTGTATTCCCTACACCTAAAACAAATTTAAGAACATTTAAAATAATTTTGCTTAATTTTTTAATGAAATTATGTAATTATCAATATATTGGAATATGAAGCATTTTTTAAGACTTACATTTACTATGTTATTATTGTAATCTTGTTTAATTATATTTAAAATATAAGATAATTGTTACATTAACAAATAACTTTGTAATGTAATTTAACCTTATTTGCTTTTTAAATAATTATAATATAAGATGCATATAATATATACATTCATCTATACAACAATTCTAATTAATTGTAAAGTTGGTATACGCTCAATATACCATTTATGGTCATAATCATCTCCTATATATGCGCATTTACGTATACCTTAATTTTGATATTTCTTTACGAACTCTCTGTATAATTGAGCCAAATAATTAGTATACAACATTCCTAATTTATGTAAAAATGTAAACTTAATTAGTTTTAATATATTATTTGAAGAAATGTTATGAAAAATTTCATACCAAATATGAATTAAATATATTTTTAGAAAAAAAAAAAAAAAAACTATGTAATTAAGTGAAAAATAACTTTTAAATAATTAAATTTAATTTAATTTTATTGAATTAAAACTTACTCAAATATTTAATCATATAAGTGAAATATATTTCTAAATAATGAATATAAATAATAAAGTTGTCATACATATACATATACTTATACAATTTAAAATTAAATAATTAAACTGTATATATATATAAAAAGCAATAATACTTGTATATTTTGAAATTATATTAGAATCACTTTATATAATATTATTGAATGGAATTCGACCCATTTTCTATTTCAACTTTAGAAAATAAAATGGTTAAATATTATGGTAAATAATTTTATAATTGAATTTTTTTTTTTTTTTGGATTAGACGAAACCATTATGAGTGTAGTACTTTATGGTAATTATTGTAGTAAAAAAAATATTGTTATGTAAAATTTTGAGGTTATTCTAAAAAAATTTTCGGGGGTTTAAAACCTGCTACTTAACCCTCTAAGTTTAAAAATTTATGAATAAATTGTAATACATTTTTCTATTCAAGAACTGTATAAGAATTACGCCTAATTCTCTTTTTACACGATAGAATGGTTCTCGGGAAATTCGTGTAGAAAAAGATACTCTCTAAGTACAAAAATAATAGATTGGTTCTAGACCTCAAAAAACAAGTTAAAAATACACTAAATTATATAAAAAAACTATTGTTGTAGTTATTTTAAGAATTTATTTTCGTTTTAATTCATTAAATAAAATAAATTAAAATTTAGATTTTAGAAAAAAAATATGTACATATTATATCAGAAATACATTGATAAAAAACTTAAATAACAAGAGCACAACCATAACAAAAATTTAAACATTAAACAATTTTATTTATTATCACTGTCTGATAATAAACACATACGTTTGCGAAAAACTATACAAAATCATTGCCATCACTGGAAACAGTTCAATTGTATGTTATTGTCGTTTAGTAGTCACGTTATTCGAACAGTTTCTGTTACTTCTGGTTCAATCAGAATACCATAGGCTTATTTTAAATAGAAAAAAACATTTTTTTGTATTCGTGTTATTTCAAATTCTTGCAAAAACAGAATTGGGCGTATGTTACCCAAAAGACGTAGATCTATTTTAAACAAACAAACGGACTTAATAATGTTAACAATAAGATTATTTCTGTAAAAATGCACTAATTTTAAAATGTAATCACATTTTAAAGCAGAAAAACAAGAAAAGAAGACAAAAACATTATTGTACCAATATAAATTCCAATAGAAATTCCTATTAGTACCGAAAAATTAACACGCTCCCACCTAAATGACTGTGTTCCTTTACTTACTTTATTAGGTCTTATGTGTTAAAATTTAATTTTTTTTTTTTAATTAAAATTTTAACATTTTAAAATTGTTAATTAAAAAAATTTTGAAATTTTTTGAAATTTTTGATTTTTATACTTTGGTTTTTTTTTTGTATCTTCATCAAGCCTATTAATTGCGGCTGTAAAACAAGTATGTTAAAATAGTGACAAAAAATATATATATATTTTTATTTCTACAAATTCTTGGATTTTGTCTTTAATATCTTAGAAAACTAAGATTTGTATAAAAAAAATTTAAAAAAAAAAACAAAGCACCTTGGCAAATTGCCATATTTGTACTTATATGCTTACACTTAACTTGTAGGTGAACATACGTTTATGTGCAAATATATATATATACGTAACATGTAACCAATATGGGAAGAACAAATTAGTCCAAAAAAAAATAGTGATAAGTGGGAGTGTACAAAGTTTTGGGTTTAAGTTGAAAAATAAAAATGTCAAAATGTTATAAAAAAAAAATAAACACAAATTTAAATTTTATTTTTTCGAAATTATTTAAAATGTGAGAAAATTATAGAAAATATTTAAATACTTGGTCGGTCGCCTTATAACTTAAATATTTTATTACTTATTTAAATAATTTTATTGAACTATTTAAAAAAAAAAATGAGTTTATTTTCATTTGATTTATTTAAGGCAAAAAATTTGGTATTTATTTGGGCAATAAATTATCGAATAATCTTAACAATAATATAAAATTATGGAATGGGCATCTAATGTGGTACATAAAATTTTTATCATTATGTAATTTTATTTATCGTAAATGTCAAAATTTTAAATAGAACGTAATATTCATTAAAATTCCTAATGTACTGAAATGAGAATTCTCTTTAAGAATTTGTTGTTAGTTGACTGAAAATCAAATTTGTAAATGATTATTTGGAACTCTTCAATTTTAAGAACAGTCTCGTAGGAGGACTGTAGGGTTGACGCATGATATAATGAGAGACGCCCAAGCTTCGAATGTAATTGGGTTTTAAGCTAGGTCTCTAATCGTCGTAGTTCAGTTTTGTTTTTATATTTTAGTGTATATTAAGCTATATAATAATAGAATATTATTTTTAAAGTGACCTGTCCGGGTTTTGAGCTCGAGGTCCTGAGGTTAAATGAGCGGTGCCATAATTACTACACCGTTATTGCTCAGCCCCTATTTTAAAGCCGTAATCGTGTAGGAAATCAAGGTAAAATAATTGTTCACTGAATGAAAAGGAATTCCAAATAATATAAAAAATTTGTAATAAGTATATATCGAAATATTTAATACGCACAACGTTTTCTAATTATGTTAAATTTTTTTTTATATTTTCTAAAAAGTTTATTCGAAATTTTATTGGAGACAGTTAGTCAAATTACTAATTTTATTGGTAATTTGGAAATATTAATATTTTACGTTTGCATATGAATAGCACCGTTTTTTGTGACTGTTGCATTAAAATAAAAAAAAAAATTCTCTTACATACTCGTATAACAGATGCATGTTCATTTCTCATTTGCATGCAATTATCTTGCGTCTTATATTTGATTTTAAAAATTTTACAAAACGTAAATAAACAATCATTTAACTTAAGTTCTATTTCATTTTTTAACACAAATAATTTTCAATTAAATAATATCGTAAAGCTTGATGCACTTAACAATAGATTTTACGATATTTTGCTCTTAAATAATTTTTTCATTATTACTTAGTAATTAGAGAAAAGTAATTTACTGAAATGTTTCAGTATAATTAAAAATTTTATAGTATAATTAAATTATATACAGAAATGTAAATAAGAAATATTAATTTTCCATAATTGTATTAAAAGAATTAACACTTTTGTAATCACAATACGAGTAGATAATTTGAAGTCATTTAAAAGAATAATTAATGTAAATAATCTCAAAGAGTTACTGAATAATTAAATAATTGCATATTTAATTATTAATATAAGTGAAATATATAATAATGATGTTTTCATATTTAATAATAATTTAAAAGGAAATTAATTAGATTGTGTATTTAACGCCGCGCCATCACTGCATGCTTATTGAACAAATTCATTTAATATTGAAAATATGCAAATATTTTTTATTTTATATAATTTAGAATTAGATTTTGTGCAATGATTGAATGTTATTTTAATTATAATCTTGTAATATTTTTAATTAAAATTTTTGGAAAAAAAATTATTTAAAGAACGAGAAGCTGTAATTGAATTTTCTAGTTTCGGAACAAATAGAAGACAATTTTTATTTTAATTAATATATTTTTTATCATTATTATCTAATATAGTCATTATAAATTAATTCAGTCATCACAACTCAATACAGGCTTTATATTCCGTACACATCAATATTAAAATTTGAAAAGTAAAAGGGCAATTTGGAAACTATTGAATCGGACAATAAAGAAAACTTCAATATTCAAATCCAAATTCATGGATTTAATCAAATGATATAGGAGATTCAGTTGTTTGTGAGTTAATCGTGAGTGAGAACTAATTAAATTAAATTATAATGGTTAATAATTTTTTATAACTTAAAAAAATCTACATTGAAAATAATTATGAATAAAAGTAAAACTAACCTGAACTTGGTCTATCACTGTAACGTGTACAATATACCCATGCTGGCCATAATGGATTATTTTCATCTTTGGTTGTTGAACTAGTTTCTGATCTGGTATCATCAGATGATTCCATACCAGAATCACGGCTAACTGATTGAGGTGGAATAGGTTGTGGGCTATTATTTGGTATACGACATAATGGTGAAGCTGATGTTGTCGATGAACCAGATGATGAAGTTGAAAATGATGATGAAACTGATGTTGGAGGTGGACTTGATAAACATGATTGGGCAGATGTTGATGATATATTATGATTATTATTATGAGAAGAAGTATTTTGACCAATTTGTGAAACTGTTTTACATAAACTTCCAAGTGGTGGAATTTTATCATTTCCATCTGATGAAGATAACTGTGATACAATTGAACCTGATGTTGGTGGCGGAGGTAATATTGATGTTGATTGTTGTGTTTGATGTTGATTTTTACATTTTCTTGCACTATTTAAAATTTCCTCATGTATACGTGGATATGCAGCTGGATTAAAACAATTTAAAAAATTTGCACGTTCAGCCATCATAACAGCTGCAGCAGCTGCTGCTGCCGCTTGCTGTTGTACCCGACTATATTCTAATAAACTAGCTGGTGTTGTTAAACGTGTAAATGCTGATTTTTCACTTGAATCATTTGTTAAATTTCTATTAATTTCAAATGGTCTAAATATTGGTGTTGCTAAATTTGATTGTATTTGCCGTTGATTAATTGTTGATGATGTTTTTTTATCATTTATGGATAATTTTAATTCTTCATCGGGTTCTTGTGTATCATGTAATCTACCATAACGATCACTTAAAATATTTGATATTGAAAAACTAATACGCTGTAATTGGGCTGATGGTGGTGATGGTGTTTTTGATTGAATATGATGTGCTGGAATTTGATCATCAACATCAATATGTTCATCTTCATCATCAATAATTGAATCATTTTCTTCTTCTTTAATTGTTGGTCCAGCTGATGTATTATCAGATTGGCCAGATGTTGCCGATGTTGGTGATAATCTCAGTAATTTATTTCGATAATCATCCGATTGCTGTTGTTGTTGCTGCTGTTGTAATTGTTGATGTTGTAATTCTTGTTGCTGTTGTTGTAATTGCTTTAAATGTTCATACTGTTGTGGTAACATATAACCAGCAAATGCTGCTGTTGCTGAAAATGGATGCATTGTATTTTGATGTAATTGATTTTGATGCATTCTCATATCTAATATTAATGATGATGATGATGTAGTACTTTGTGGTGATTGTGGTATACCTGGAGGACTTGGAGCACTTTGTGGACTACAGCGATCTTCTAATGCCATGGCATTAATTTAATAAATTATTAAAACTAAATTCTAGTTTTTTTTTTTTTTTGTGTTGTTGGATTAAATGTATTTTTTTTTTCTTTTTATCAAATTATTTTGAATTCTTTTTAAAATATTTTTTCATTTAAATTTTTTTATTTAAAATTTTTCATTTCTTTGCAATTGTAAGCACATTCACTTTTTTGTTGTTTTATCAATCAAAAATATTTTCAATTCATTTTCTACTGACCACATTTGCACTTCTTAATTTTGCAAAAAAAAAAAATGCAAAAAATTCTTAAATCACATGAAAATTTTGTTTTATTTTTTTTTTTCATAAATCGATTTTTTTTCTTTAATTTCAACCCAAGGCACACGCGAAAGAATCGTTGAAATACAAAACAAAACAAAAAGATTTTTTTTCCTCTTATTTTTTTCACGAATGGAAAATATGATTTGTTGTGACACAGTCAGATGTCACCTGTAATCTGACAGACGTTTGAGTGAGAACTCACGAGAATGACTGAATTTAGATATTTTTTGGTAACTTTAAAGTACTATGACCCGCTGTTCAATAATATTTTGTGTTTTATTATATTTGTCTTTTACTTTACTTCGTTACATTTTTCTTCTTCTTCTTCTTTTTCTTTATTTTTATGTATAGTATAATTGAATTTGATACATACTTTGTCTTTATATTTTATTTAAAAAAAAAAAAAAACAAAAAAAAATCACTCACACCATCACAATAACACTTTATTAAAACACAAATTTATATGAAAGATAAACATTGAAAAGAACCATAAATAAATACAAAGATGAACTGAAACTAAAAAGGAGAATAAACTTGTGAGTCCGTTTTTGACTTTATTCTTGTAGTTTTTTTTTTATACAACAATATAACAGTTGAGAATGTGACTAACCGACCGACGCGACGTTTGAGTAGATTTCTACATCTCTATTAAATAATTTGTGTTTTTATTTTTTTCTTATACATTAAAAATTTACTTTGAAGTGCTCACGTACACATGTTTAGTTAATGTTTTCGTATTCACCCACTCAATAGCGGAATTCTTTTCGTTTCTGTTTTTTGTTTGTTATACGAGATATGAACGTTTACAAGTGCAACCGTATAATGAAAAAAAAGATTTTTGATTAAAACAAATAACTATGAAACAGAAATTTATTTTTGTAATTTTTTTTTTTTTTATTTTTGTATATTGAAGAAAAAAAAAATGCTGATCTAAAGAAGAAAAAACCAAACCAAATGAAATTGTTAGTGTGTATGTAATTTTGTGTATATAATTTTATTGTATTTGTGTTGGTAATTATGATGTTAAGGCGGAGCTGATAGATGTATCAGCCTCCCTTTTTTTTGTTTTTTTTTTTAAATATAATTACAATGTTTAATTTTTGTACACCTTCATATACAATACACATTCAAGAAAAGAAATAAAATAAAATACATAGACATAATTTTAATTTTAATATAGTCATCCATATTGAAATTAAACTGTTAAACATGAAATTGGATAAAAAGGATACAAATGATTAACATATTTTATTTTTAACCCAATACTAGTGCACTATTGAAAGTTTAAACACAAATGTATAAGGCATAAAAGACGTCTTGTACAATACATAGCCAATAGACAATAGTCAAGAATATTGAGAGAAGACAAGAAAATTTCTTAAAAAAAAAGAGCGAATATTATAATTATTATATGGAAAAATTAAATTGCAGGCTTATAGGAGAATAATTGTATTTTATTTATTGTTGTGTATGTAGGAGAGAATGTTTGTTGATGTTGAATTTGTGTTGATTATTAAAAAAATTTTAACAGTACACAACTTAATTATTGAATAACTTGTAATAATAAACACAACAATAAAAAATGAGAGAGAGAGAAAAAAAAAAAAGAAATATTAAATTTCTCTTTGTTCTTCACCGCTCTTTAGTTAACGTTTCTTTTTTTCTTGAAATTTGTTCCGATAAAAATAGAGTAGCAAGCGTGCAGGTAGAGTAAAATTTTTACTGTGTTTCAAAAAATAAATTAATTTTCTAATATTTTGTAATAATTGTTAAAAAACATGTTTTTGGCTTTCACTTTTGTATTTCAATTTTTGCTCACCACACCAAATTCAGCGCAAAATTATTTTATGTATAATTGTATTTGCACAATGTTGTGATGTGACAAGAATATGTTTTTTTAGATTGTAGATTGTAGAACCGAGTGGGACAGGAACAACCCCCAAGCCACCGCAGCCATTCTTGATTTATTGTAGCCTCTCCACGCTCCCACCTATAATATCGCCATCCCAACCACAAAGCCGGAGATATCCCTAAGGGAGTTAGACAACAGTTCCCGAACACTTAGGGACCCATGTCCAAGACAATTGTGGCCGCGAACAGCCAGTGCCGGACACGCGCAGAGAATGTGCACGGCGGTCTCATCGCCTATGCAGGTAATACTTCACTGGGCAGTGCCCCGTGAAGAAATTTCGTGTCCCGCCGGTGACGGCCGCATTCCGCCGCGAGCAGGCCCCTACGCTGGAAGAAGGCAGATCGCAGAAAGGCAGCGGCTGCACAAAGTCAGCTCCAGATCCCCTCCGCGCCAGCCCATCGGCAATTTCGTTGCCCACATGGCCACTGTGGCTCGGCACCCAAATGAGCTTGACTCTGTTCTCCGATGCCAATTCCACAAGTGCAGCAAGACAGCCCCAGACCAGCTTGGATGTAACCTGAGCTAAACGAAGCGCCAGCAGTGCAGCCCTGCAGTCCGAGAACACATAGATGGTGCGGTTTCTATACCTTCTTTCTGAATTGATTCTCAGACAGATCTCTTTTGCATGTATTTCGGATTGGAACACCGTGCAATATGGGTCAAGGGTTGCATATATACGCGTGTCCGGGCGGACACCGTATACACCCGAACCCACACCCGACTCCGTCTTGGACCCATCCGCATACCACACGCTCGAACCCGACTTAAGTACCGGGCCACCCCGATCACACGTCCATCGATCGGGAAACAGAACACTGTACTTGTGGTCGAAGTTGTACCGCGGCTGACAAGTATCCGACATGGTTATTCTTAGAATCGGATCGCTCTGAATGAAGTCTCTGTGAGTCCTGTGGGCCAACTTTAGTCCCTCACCAGAGAAGTCGGTAAGTTACTAGCCGAGCTTCTTTCAATATATGGAGGTGCCGTGGCGGGAACCCGATCGTCACTCCCAGGCAGGCCAGCCTCTGTAGCTTTTCCAGCTTGGCTCGCACACGCGCTTGCTGAGCCTTACGGCACCATAAAATCAACGCGTAGGTGACGATGGGCCTAGCAAGAGCCGTATATAACCACAGTGCTATCGTGGGATTGATCCCCCAGGTCCCACCGATGAATCTCCTACACTTCCACAAACCCTCTAGATAACTCTATATGGGTATTCAAGGAGAAACGGTCATCCAAGGTTACCCTCAGATACTTCACCTCCCTAGAGTAACAAACAGAATTGAGCTCGTTAATTTATCCCTGCTTCTGCGTCTGGTGAAGGCGAACAAAGTGTTCTTGCTTGGATTTATATTTAACCCAACGCCTTCGCACCACCTTTCAACAGCACGTAAATTTTGCTGTATAAGATCAGAAATAGTGTTCTCAAAGCCTGCCGTTATGAAGTGAATCGGTTTCACAGCCCGCTAATTGTGAAAACAAAATAAAAATTCAGCAATGTTTTTTTAACCTGTTAAGAAAGAAAAAAATAATCGCTTAACAGGTTAAATTTGGTATGAAGCGACATCCGTTATGACAAACATCATTCGAAAAATGAGAAAATTGGGAACATCTAAATTCTCGGGAAAATGACAACAGAAAAGTGAGATACATAATGAAGAGCTTAGTTTAACCTAGGATTACAGAGTTATAAAAGGAGAACGAATTATATAATATTAAAATTTTAAAATTTAATGGAAAGAGATCTCTCACAAGTTGACAAACACTTTTGCACTTATTTAGAGAAGAGTAATTTTCTCTCTTTTGCTCAGTGATTTTCTCTGTGTTGGTTTTGCATTATGATTTGCCTTTGTATGTGATATTTTTAATAAAATTATTATATGTTTCATTTTAGGTATGCACACATACGCAACCAAGGAAATCGTGTGTGTGCGATTACCAATAATTTACTCTCCTGTACTATAGTTTGTCTTTTCTTTTAATTTTGGGTTGTTCTTTTATTCTTTTCAGTTCGTTTTGTTGTTCTTGTTTTTTTTCTATATCATTGATTTGTTGTGTATGACTTTTTCATCACTCAACCGATTCCTCTTCAAACTTTGATTTAGTCGTTTTATTTACTTATTATTTTTATTTTTCCTTTTTTTCTTATATATTTGTTTATAACAAATTAAGTATTCACCTTTATACATATTATTATTTGTATTGAAACATTTTACGTTATATATAACGAGTAAATATTTTTTTTATTATACATGTTGTCTTAATATAAAATTATATTGGAATAAAATTTTAAAGTGATTAAGATATTTTTGTTGCCTCTTTTGAATTCTCGCATATTGTGTATAAGCGTTTCATGTAAGAATTAAATTAAGAAAAAAAAGAAAAAATTTGATCATATTGTTATTCTACTCTTTCCATCTCGGTTTTACCTTTTCAAAAATTGATCTATTGTTTTTTATTGTGTTAAATTAAAAACAATAATTCCATTGTCTAGTAAAATTTAAAGTTTATGCAAGGTAAGGTTGAGAAAATAAAACTGGTCGTGAAATAATTAAAAATTTAGGATTGTCTTTTTTTATTTTTTAAATAGATCTTAATTGTAGAAATGAAATTAAGGAACTAAAATTAATTATTCTTATTTTAATCAAATACACATGTATTAACATTTTTCCCGACGATATTCACCTATTTTAATTGATTATAAATTTGATGAACTCGAGCAAATTTTGGCGGCCGGAAAACTGCTACTTCGCCGCTGTGAGAGCGAAGTCATCCAGTATTATTCTTACCCTGCGAGCGAGAACAACGTACTCTCCCAGAAAGTGTACTAAGGTCTCCCAACCTGCATGTGTCTTCACTTTCCAGAGCCAGCCTTTTAGGGTGCACCCTAAACCTGCAGTTAGTCGGCAAAACCACTTTGAGAATTCTCACTTGATTCTTACCCATCCCTATAATCTTCTTAAATTGCGTTAGGTCATAATCTACCAGAAGTTCTTTGGCCT